TAAAGCCTTCGCCTAAAAAATCCCCAAAATGCGAATTCCCAATTCCAAATTCAAATCCGCCATTGAAGAAGACCTTAGAAGACGAGGCTAAATGGGTCTCACTCTCGCCGGAAAATCCAAATCCACTTCCGGCGAGAATTGGGGAATGGGTCTTCTTCTTGTCTTCTTCTCCGACGACTCCCCTTCCGCCATTGCCGACCAGAACAAGCTTTTTCCGTCTTCTTCTTCTTCATCTCGTCGGAGTAATTACAATCTTCTCACTAAAGCTCAGTCCACCATTTCCGTCTGTGCTCTGCTCGTTTTTCTTTCTCTTCTTCTTTTCACTCTCTCCACCTTCGACCCCGCCATTAAAATGAACCTCACTCCCCCCCGGCGCCTCCTCTCACAGAAACCGTCGCCGATTGAAGTCCGTTCGTTGGAAAATCAGTGGATTCCGTTTCGCAAAATGTGGAAGCCGAAACCGGCGACGGTGGTTACGTCGACAGCGGCGCTGCAACGAATGGGGACTTTGCATATGCGAGGTACTCGGGCTATGGCGGACTTGACGGTGGTCCACGTGTCGGAAGACATCGGAGAAGAAGACCTCCGCCTCTTTCTTCGACTGTTTCATCGCTCCGGTGTCACCGCGAAATCCGATTCCGTTTTCGTCTTCCCCTCGCCGGCGTTCTCGTTGAGATTCCGTCCGATTATTCAAGAGGAAAACGAATCGTTTCTGAAACTCCTTCGCCGGTACCGGAATTTGAACGGAACGACCAGCCGGGCCGCGGCGGCGGCGGGATTTGATGTAACCAGGTTTATTAAAACCAAAGAGAAGAAGGAACCGGACGAGCCGATTTGGGGGAAGAAAATGAAACGACTCGGCAACGATTCGGACGAGTTGACTCGGATGAGTTACGGGTCGGTAGTGAGTTTCGACGCGGCGGAAATGGATTCAGAGAATTCACTTTCTGGCTTCTCCGATCACATTCCGATGAGTCTGCGACGGTGGGCGTGTTACCCGATGCTCCTCGGCCGAATCCGCCGGAATTTCAAGCACGTAATGCTCGTGGACGCCAAAAACTCGCTTCTACTCGGCGATCCACTCGGCCGATTCAGAAACAAAGCAACCGAGTCAGTGATTCTCTTCCCGAACAAGCACAGCAAAAAGAACTCGGAAAAATCAAACTCGCACCATCAGGTAAATCCGGCCGTCGTGATCGGCGGTGCACGCGGTGTCCGCCGACTATCAAACGCGGTGGTGATCGAAATCGCCAGAATTCTGATGCAGCACAAGAAGAGTAACTCGGTGTCCGACTCAGGAGTAGTAAGTCACCTCGTTAACAGTGAGTTTTCATTAAAGAACGTGAAGGTGATTATGGCTGCCGAGTCTATCCCAGAAGCGAGTTCACTCGCCAGAGTTGAATTCGGCTCCGTCGGATCATCGTCGGCACCGGAGAAGATGATGTTCCTGAGGGGCAATACTGATAATTTGGGTGAAATTAATTCTGTTATTCGGAAGAAAATATGTTCGTCGGAAATTGATTCTTCTGTCTATACGGATTGTTAGCAAATCCAATTAGTGATCTATAAACTGTTCTTCATTTTTCTTTTTTTTTTTAAAATACATAATTTTTTGTTCTCCTGTATATACTTTACATCTGGTAATAAAGATTCTAACGTTGTTTGATTATGTTTTTTTTTAGGATTGTTGTTTGATCTATAAACTGGTAATTTCCATTATTATCATAATCATTAATAGACAAATCGTAAATTAAATGTATTAATGTTATTTTTAAATACATGTAATTAAATTAAAATTTGCTTATATTTATAAAATAAATAAAAAATTGAAAAAGAGAGAGAGAAAGTGATTTTTTTTTTTGTTTCACGGAGGGACTGTGAGGTAAGGACGCGTGAAAGAACGGTTAAACGCATTGATGAAACCCATGTGATTGCTTCTCTTTTTCTTTTTTCTTTTTTTTTTCCTTTAAAAATATTTAATATTCAAAATTTATAAGATAAACGGGTCGAGATGAAGGTTATGTAAGATATGTTGGATGATGAAAGTCCCACATCGGTTAATTTAGGGAATGGTCATGGGTTTATAATCTAAGAATACACTCTCCATTGGACTGAGGCTTTTTGGGAAGCCCAAAGCAAAACCATGAGAGCTTATGCTCAAAGTGGACAATATCATACCATTGTGGAGAGTCGTGTTCGTCTAACAAGATAAAATGGGTCGAGATGGAGATTATATTTCTGTCAATGTCTTGCTAAAAACAAAATTTTATTTCCGAGTTACAATAATATATATATTTTTCTAATAAGGATAATGATATTAAATGTAGAAGAGAAAACTAATCTACTGATTTACTAGTTTGTTTACTCAACATAATCTAGTAAAGCAGTAAGACAAGGAACACTTGGGAGAAGGAAGAAAGAAAGCAGGAAGCAGCTAGACGAGAAGAGGAGAGGGAAGAAAGAAGGAGGAGAGAGTATGCTCGCTCGAAGAGGAGAGGTGCCAGACCAAGCAGCGAGACACACAATAACCTCGATTACAGACAGGACAGTTCGAACAAGAAAGAAGGTTAATGAGTCAGTCAGTCAGTAAGTAGAAGTTCGAGCAAGAAAGAAGGTTAATGAGTCAGTCAGTCAGTAAGTAGAGTGAGTAGACAGAGGGAGGGGAACGAGCGAAGCTGCTCGACCGAGAGGAGTTCGGTTCCTGATTCTGTTGCCATGGATCAAGACTCGCGTAATTCTCATTGTACAAATTATAAATCATGGTGACATTTAACCTAACAAATTATGAACTCGCAGACTTTGTTATAATATATTCAAGCAAGTTTTGTTATAATATAAAAATAAATGTGTAAAAAGAGATGGACCATATCATGACGTCATGTACATTAAGTTGTACCATGTTTCAAATCTATAATAATATAGTTGGCAACAACTTTATATTCGCAGACTTTATTAATTACCCTTTTCCAAAAAAAAAATCCAAAAAATAATTTCAATATTATAATATAATCTTTTGCATTTACAAACATATAAAAAGTGATCGAAACGGGTTGAGGGCGGAGACGAAAATATAATCTCCATCTCTGACTCACATTTATTGTATAGAGATCGAGACTATGACACGTGCATAGGGTAGATTCATATTTAAATTTCTAATCAGACGTTAGGATAGGTTGTTTTAGTTTTAAATTATTTTATATATTTTTTAAATTTCAGTATTTTCTATTTAAACACGAAAGATCATGACTATGTTTTACGATATTTTGAATATTTTTTATATTTATATTATAGAGAGTAGTATGTAAAAATTTAGAGTAATTACAGTCAAATAACTCAATACGTGTGAGTAAAGGCTATTTCAAGTCTGATATGAAATATGCTAAAAAGTGAAAGGCAATGGTCGGGTATATGGGTTGTGAATCACAAATCCACATATTTATTTAACGAGCGAATCTAAGCCACCGACACCAATAAATAAATAAATTAATTAAAAAAAAAAAAACACAAAAGAGACTATTAGTTGGTTGAAAGAAGCTTCTTATAGCCTTGCCCTTACTTGCAACTTGCAATCCTAACAACTCCAAACCATCCCTTTCAAAATATTTTCAAATTTTTAATAATTATATATATATATATATATATATATATATATATATATATATATATATATATATGTGTGTGTGAGATGTAGGTCGTTATTTTAAATAATCAATTTTATTTAATTAGAGATTAATTAGTAATTTAAAGGTGCACTGATTTTTGGATTAAATTTCTTCACGTCAATCGGTCTCATAAAATTTGATATATTTACTTCACTTGTCGAAAATGCTAGATTTTTGGCAAGTGTCGTAAATCTCTTGAACACAACCACCTCCACACGCCTTCATAACCTCCTCTCGCCCCGCAAGAGAGAAAAGAAAGAAAGAAAGAAAGAGAACAAGGGAAGAGGAGGAAAAGAAGACCTCACGGCACGGTCGACTTGTCAAGCTTCGGTAGCGGAGGAAGGAACTAACCTAAACAATGGTTGAAAACGGGAGAAGAAACGACGGAAGACATGTCTAAGAAAAATAAAATCTACCCATAATTTTTTTATTTTTCAAAAATTGGAAAAAAAATTTGTGTTGGTAGCATAATAAATATAATATACTAAGTAGTTAATTTCAAGAAAAATTCATCCTTAATTATATAATTAATACTTAACCATATAATTAATAGTTAATAAATGAGTGCATAAAACAATCTAAAAAAAGAAAAAAAAAAAAACTCTTTTTCCTTTCAAATCATGACAGTTTTTAAATCCTTAAAATTTGTGTGAAATATGTTTTTTTTAAAAAGAATGATTTAATCTTTTTGCAACTCGTTTTTCAATTGTAAAAAAAAAAAAATCACGTTAATTGAAGTGTTACTCGATAACTCGACTAATCTCAAATACCCAACCCAACACCTAAACCCCAGTTGAGCTGGGTTAGTTTTTTTTCTCGATTTGTGTTAAGTTTTTCGAAAATTGATTTGTGAGTTGACTTTTTTTGTCCGATCATTTGTGGGTTGACTTTTTTGGTCAAATCAACTCCATTAACTAAAAAATAAGAATGTTTAAAAAAAAAAAAGATTGTTTAATATTTGTAATTGATGTTAGTGATCGTTGTGACTTGTAAATGTTTGATATTTGAATTTTATCTAGATATAACTGAAACATGCATAGTAGATTTTTAAATAATAATAAAATAAATCGACAACTCAACCCAATAAAAAATAAGAGGATTTATGTAGGGTCGAATTGTGAACTCTATTCAGATTGCTTGAATCACCGACTAACCCTTTTTAACTCAACCCGTGTACTTCTACACTTTAAATATAATAACTTCAATAAAGATTTTATTAAAATAAATAAATAAAATTTTAAAATTAAACACCATTTTAAAACACATGGGTTTCTAAGAGGCCTATCAAGAAAGTCAACAAAATAAATAAATAGACAAAAAAAAAAAAAAAAAAAAAAA